GTGCTTCCAAATAGATCCTCTTTTAACTCAAGTCTACTTTTTTCAGTTTTGATTAGTACAGAATATTATAGTGACTATTAGTTTTAATTTTTTTTTAATTCGCTTTTTTAATTTCAATTGAACTGGACAGAAACTTGCTGTTTTTTATTTAAAGGGAAAATTTCTGAATTATGTTCTCTCTGTCATTATAAAAAGGTATGCTTGGCTTCCTTTTTTTCCTTCCTTAATAAACTTATAAAAAACCCTCCTTATAGAAATAAATTCCAGTGATGACTAATGTTATCAACTGAGCCATGATAGCTCAGAGGATAGAGCGTTCGCCTTCGAATGAGGTGAACCATGTTCAAATCCCAGTGATGGCTGGTTGATACGAATTCTGCATCCGGCTCGCACCGACCACAGTGCTGACATAAAAATATCCTCAGTGGTAGACAGATCATGGGTTAGAGTCCCCTTGCCGCTTCGCTGGCTGTGCGAGGTTTTCCTCTCCATGTAACGCAAATGCGGGTTATTTCCATCAAAAAGTCCTGCACATAGGCACATTTCTCCCAATACTTGATCCAGAAGTAGTAAATGGTGACTGATGTATGTTAAATCTGTTAGTCACAAAGTCCACTATGTTGCCATAACAAACCATACCTCTGATGGTACTGATCCAGGAGTTACCTTGTCTTCTGGATTGGGTTGAAAATTACAAGGCTATGGAGTTGAACATTAGTCATAAACCCGAAAATATTGGTTCGGCTGTTCAATGACTGTTATGAAATAAAATGCTATCAACTTAACTTGATATCACCAATTTCGAATTAAAATTCATTCCAAATTCTAAGAAAGCTTCATCTCTTTCCACCATTTTGTTAAACTAGGCAGTTTTCTCACTTGTTACTAATTTGGTTTTCTAAAAGTTTTTGTACACTTTTTATTCTGTTTGATTTGTTTTCAAAGAAAAATTGGTTCAAGAAAGTTAAGAAACAAGATTTCTTAAAAATGTTAGTATTGTACAAATAGAAAACAAAATTATTATAACTAAAATAGGAATGACTTAAATAGGTTTTAATGGGTTAGGTGTAAAATCATTGTTAGCAATGAAATCAATAAAAAAAAACAGCTAACACTAAACTTTTATTTTGATCTTATTGAATTGATCCCAACAATATCACAGTCTTTGATTTTTTTTTTTCGAATGCATATTTCACAATGTTGTGCATATAATAATTATTTTTTATCAGCTTCACATGTCTAAGCAATCTAGGAATCTGTTAGGAAAAAGTCCAACTGTAACTCCGATAATCAGATTTGGCACACTGAGAATTAATAAAATGCTTCTGTTCCACATAATCAGTTTCTGAAAAGGAAAAAAAAAAACTATAATGAGAATTCTGAATATAGCCAAGACCATTCTGTTAAAAATTATTCTAAATCTTTTTGTTAAAATAACGAACGTAAAAGAAAACATTTCAAAACTTACTGGTTTTTTTCTCTGCACTATATTTACTTCAAATTATGAGTATACTTCGAAATTTAAATTATTAATTGGACAATTTTTTGGACTCTTAACAGTTGCCAAATTTACAAAACGTAATTTTATTTAAAAATAAACATTCATATGAATCAGTGTATGGTTAAAAAGCAGTTAAATTTCTAAATGAGCAATCAAGTGGTATATTTACAACTATAAATTTATAATAGCTTATGAAACATTTGTTAAATATATTTTTTTGAGTTCTTATTGACTAAATCTTTGTTTCAACTTACTTGGAAATCCGCTAGTGCAGCAGCTAACAGTCCGAAACACAAGCCAAGTCCTATTGTAATTGCTTTACATTTTGATTTTTTAGAATTTAGTGGTTGGTTTAAAACGTGCAACAATAAAAGAGTCCAGGCAGTGGCAGCAAAAAACATCTCAATAAGATATGAAGATCGAGATAGCTTTGGCACATCTAGAAGACAAAGATATTATTAAATCCGATTTTAAAAAAAATGCAACAAAGGAAAGCTATTAGATGTAGGTATCAGTAAAACATATGTGTATTTTAAAATACCATATAATTTCAAAAAAAAAAATCTGTTTTAACAAATGCTATTAGATTTCTAATAAAGCTTTGGGGTTTGGCTAACCCTGGGAAGTTATCTTTATTTTCTTCTCCACACAGCGCAAATATTTCATTAAAAAGACCTTCACGAAGATTAGCTTGATCCTGGAGTTCCCTTGTCTTCAAATTAAAAGGCTCAAAGTTGAATATCGATAATCGTAAACTAAGAATTGGACCGTTTATTCAACTCCGATTATTTAATAATATATTCACGTCAACAGTGCAGTTTAAATAAAATAATCTATGTTAGACAAGACAAGCATTGGACTGCAAATTAAGTCGGAAAGGAGCGCCTTTTGTTTGACAAGAGACCACCACTAGTGTAAAAGTGCGAACCGGGTAGATGGAACCTCTCATTCAAGAAATAAATTTTCTCCAAATTCCTTTGCCTATAGTGCTGCTCAGCGACCGACCACAGGACTTCGGATTGCACAGATGTTACAAAAGCTGGCATATGGCATGTACTCAGTAGCATGCTCCTGGGGGCCGTACACCGGCTCCGCCAGAATCGAAGTACGATGATCTAACCACTGGGCTACCGCGGCTCTTTAAAAAGTTTTATTTCATTTTAACATTTTCAGCTTTAGTTCGCTACCGTTCAAAAAAACAATTTTACACAAATAAGGAATAACACTCAAAACATGGCTAACCTTACACTTTATACTGTGATATTGTTAAATTTGTTTTAGGCTGACGACCTGTTAAAATTTATAAATTACAGAAAACTCTTATGAATGTTAAAATTGCGCGTAAATTTAAACTCAGATCATAATCAAACTTCCTAGATTATCAAGCCTGTTCACACATCTCCTCGTAAGCATAACATAAGCGGAGGGATACACCGGAAGTTTTATAAATTTCTTCCGGTTTTAGAAAGCTTGTTATTGTTTACATTCAGTCAACCATATCTGTAAATATTGTAATAGGAAGAATCGTTTTAAGTATAGTGTGTCTACGGTAAGAACTCCCCCCGCCACCAAGTCTGAGGCCGTCTGCTACTATGGAAACAAGAGTAGCGCATTTCATGGAGGGTAGCTCCTCTTCCCTCTAGGGTTAACACAATAGACCAGAGAAAAAAGTTCTTTTTTCGCCGACCCCACATTCCTACTAGAAATAGTTATAACTCGTTACCATAGTCACCGCCACGAGTTCTTACGTTAGACAAACTATACGAGGGTTGCTATTTATATTTCTGGCCTTGGCAACAGTAAGTGTTGCTAGGCGACCGCAGACGATTTTAATCGAAAGTTTGATATTTTTAAACATAAATTCAGCAGACGATTTACCATTATAGCTTCATTTGTGTTGTTGACAGTAAATTGAAAAGTTCTTCTCTTTCAAAAAATGGAATTGAATCGTGAACATTTTCGTGCCATTATTTTTCATAACTTTC